TACCAGCAGAAAGTATTATTAATTTGATGCCCCGCCGCTGCCGCCATGGTGAAGGAGCAGTTCAGGGAGACGGATGTGGCCAAGAAAATGTGAGTGGGTCGACCAGGGTGGCGTCCTGCGCGGCGAGAGGCTCCTGGGCGGCCGCTCCGCTGCCGGCACGGCAGGGCACGGCAGGGCACGGCAGCGCGGCGCCCCGCACTGAGGGACCCGGCGTTGCCGCGGCGTGGCCCGGTGGCTGTGGGAGCCAGCAGCAGAAATCCTAGGGTGTGACCCGGGAAGAAGTTTAGTTTCCAGGGAAGCGGAGGGTGGTTGATGGTGCAGCTAGTTCACTTTTAAAAGCGCTGGCGCAGGCTACGCTCTCCCAACCTTGGCGCAGGTTGCGGGCGGATGTAGGATTGCGCAAGAAGGTCGATCAATCCCCTAGATATAAACGACTAAGTCTCCGCAAAACAGCAGTATTTTTTATAGTTATGCAAAAAGAAGCTGCTTCAGCAATTTTGTGAATTAACTTAGCCACCTTTGCGTTGCTTTTAAATGCAAATGTGTGTGTATGCCTGTAGTTATAAGCATTTCTGTATATGCACGTACAAACATGTGACATTTCCATTCTAGAAGCCACATCTGTTTTGGTATGAAATCTCCAGAGGAGATGCGTCAGCAAGCTCACATTCAAGTGGTTAGTAAAAACTTGTATAGTCAGGACAACCATCACTCTCCACTGCAGTATGGAGTACTTGACCATCGCATGGTGAGAACTGTTTTTTTTCCTGACACTTTATGTGGAATTACTTGAAATGGTTAAAAATAAGTTGGTATGACTGAAATTTATTGCTCCTTCAAAATGCATGCAAATGTGTCTCAAACTGTGTAGACTGTGTGTTGCAGTGACAGCTACTTCGTGCCTTTGGGTACTTCAGAAAAGCATCCTTCTGAGGTGGGAGAAAAGTTTTTCCTGCCTAGTTGCTGGGAGACCCAGAGACATCCATCTACAATATAACATACTGTAGGTTAGTGGGCTGTAGATCAGTTGCAAAAGCCGTATGAGTTAATGTCACTACTATTAGTAGGGCCTGCATGTGAAAGACGCTTTTCTTTAGGACTAGAGTGAATAACGCTACTGACATGCCTCAGATGCTGGGAGAAAGGAGTAAGGGTGTGCTGTCAGGATAGCCAACTAGCTTAAGAGCTGTTGTATTTTCTATGTATTCAGCTGATTATAGCTACAACTCTTTTCTCTGTGTGTGTTTCCCAAAGGGAACCAGTGAAAAAGACCGTCCCTGTGAAACCTGTGGAAAAAATCTTGCTGATTGTTTAGGACATTATGGGTACATTGACTTAGAACTGCCCTGTTTTCATGTTGGATACTTCAAAGCTGTGATAGGCATCTTACAGGTAAACACAATTATGATTTGTAGTCCAGAAAAAGGAGATTATTAGGAAAGATGATGCTTGAAAGAGTAATTGAGAAGACCAAAATAAAATTGTGTTATAAATTTTATTTTTATACATCTTGTGTTCTGTAAAATAAATGTATTTAAATACTAGTAGTGATGTAAATATATTTATTTTCTTTTATGTAATCTCAGACTGATTAATTTGATCCATTATTTTCTGTAGTAGTTTTAATTAAATGTATGCGGTATAACTTGCCTTTTAGGACATCCCGGTGTGGATCTTTAAGATCCTGCAAAATCTAGATAAGGATTTGCCTCACTGACTGTAATTTTTTTTCCATCTACCTTTTTTCTGCATTACAGCACATGAATTGGTCTTTCAACCAAGACCATTGCATTTCATTCCAAAAAACTGCATTCTGTTGAAGAACTTCAGTTACAACAGGTTACATTTCTAAATGTGTCTGTTAAACTACTGTGTTTTTATGTGTTTACATTTAAGATGATCTGCAAAACGTGTTGCCATATCATGCTATCAGTGGAAGAAAAAAAACAGTTTTTGGATTATTTGAAGCGACCTGGCCTGACGTATCTTCAGAAGAGAGGACTGAAAAAGAAAGTATCTGAAAAATGCCGGAAGAAAAACACTTGTCCTTACTGTGGTGCCTTTAATGGTGAGTGTTGACATTAGCAGATAGAGATGGTGATCTCCTGTGATGGTTTTTACCTTGGCAGCTGTGATAGACATCAAAATTTTTAACATCCCTGTTCATTCTACAGCTAATGGAGTATTCTCTCTGGCCCTTACTAAGAATCTCATAATTGTGTTCTTAATGTCAAGCACGTGCTTGTTCACATTTCATTTATGTGCATAAAGACATTACCCTAGTAGCTTGGTTTGTGTCATGTGATACCTCTTCATGGCAATAACCAATATTTGGTACTTGAATGATACCGAAACCACTACTGTTTAACATGTGGTTAAAAATATGGGAAGCTATTGTCAGTGATCAATATGTTAACATAGAAGCATTTCTAGTCTTCGTAATTTTGTCTGATCTTTGGTTTTGATCGTTATATTATCTTTCTTGAGATTAGATGTGCTTGTTATCCTCTAGGAGGGTATGTTCTGCAGTTTGGCAGTATTTGAGCTGTGATGATCTTGGCTTACACTGGAATTTGTTCTTCAGGGCAGAGTAGCTTGATAAGATTTTCACATTTGTTTCTCAAAATACTTATTTTCTTCATGTACACTGATCAGGTGATACTGCTGTTAAAGGACCTGCGGTATTACAGATTCATATTGGATGGTTAATTCATAAATTAAAACTATGTTTTTAATTCATGAAAATTGTGAGTTGTTGGTCATAATGATCAACAGCATGGAAAATAGAGCTGTTTTATTCTAAGTGCCAAATATACATGTATGGGGCACAGACTGTAGGCATTTACAAAATTAAGTGGTAGGTCAGCATACTTCAGTAAAAATAATTGAGTTTGGAAAGTGTACTAGTCTGTGGAAGTTTTATGAATAATGTTACCTGCATGACATGAAAATGTTTCTAGGATTTTTTTGACAATTCACTTCCAAAATTATTTTAAAAGACAGTGGGATGATATATAAATGGCACATCTTAGTCCTGTTTTTAATGTGGCAAATTCTAATTTAAAAAGATATCTGCTGTGATTGAGGTTAAGCTGAATTAAAGCATGGGCTAAACCACCTGCTTTCAGCTTCAGAAACTGCATCATGATCTAGGTGCACCAAGCCAGCCATACAAGGAGATATGATCTGATTGTCCTCTTCTTGTTTTGTGAATTTAGGAAACTGGTTCTTAAAGCTGATAAAGCTTTATTTTATTCTTGTGCTCACTGAAAGTTTAACTAGTTTTGGAACTGTAGCTTACTCATTTTAAGTTTGAGGCTTGGTTTGAGAGGTTGTTTTATTGACTGTTTTTGTTTAAAAAACAAACGAACCCACATCTATTTGCTTTGCAGGAACTGTGAAGAAGTGTGGTTTGTTGAAAATAATACATGAAAAGTACAAGACAAATAAGAAAGTCATAGATCCAGTAGTATCTACTTTTCTCCAGTCCTTTGAAACTGCTATAGAACATAACAAAGAAGTAGAACCCTTACTGGGAAGAGCTCAGGTGAATTCTATTATGACTTAAATTTTCTGCTATTTTTTGTGCATGGTATAAGATTCTTCAAAGGTTTTGTATGTAGCAGCGTAAGCCTTTTGGTGGTCCAAGATTTTCATGCACCGAAAGACACTTGAAGAATGTTTGTATTTATTGCAATAATGCAAACTTTGCTAAAATGAGAAATTTAGTTTATTGGTATGTTCTGATACATAGGTTTCTGTCTGTAAAGAAGAGAGATGTTCTTGGTATAACATACTTCCATAAGCTAGAAAAGGGAGAAGAAAAATAGACCCATATAAACTCTGCATGTACATGTAGATTTAGTGTAACTCCCAGATGATTACAATACACAGGATTATTATTTTATTCAGAAGAACTTCATGTTGAGAAGGAGAGATAGATTTTTATCTAACCTTTTAATTTCCTTCAGCTTTGTATGCTGTTTTGTTTCGTTCTGCTCTTTGCAAGCTGGGCAAATCTCAGGGTACGTTTTTGGACAGAAGTAGTGAATATCTGGAGTTTCTTATACTACAGCAATAGCTGTACTAAAAAGAGAGAGCAGAAGTTTTGTAAAATGGTCTTGAAAGTACTGTAATTCATGTGATTTTTCTACTAATAAAATGAAAACAGTGTATTTTTGCTGTAAGAGGTTTATTGAGCTGCTTTTACTCTCAGTTAACTAGAAAAGAGAGTAGCATGATGAGAAGTAAACACTGATGTGTAGGGGAAAAAAAGAAAGAAAGAATATAGCAAGTTAGTATCTGAGATGCTAAAAGCATTGGTTCATAATAAATAAACCAAAACATAGGTTTGTTTGTGTGAAAAATTGTCTTTTTAAAAAATGTAATTTCTGAAGTCAGTAAATGAGGGGAGGAGGGAAGCATTGAAACTGTTACATGATGACTTGTTCTCTCCATTCTCCAATGGATTTCGTAGGAAAACTTGAATCCTCTGGTAGTGTTGAATATCTTTAAAAGAATCCCAGCAGAAGACATCCCTCTGCTCCTAATGAACCCAGAAGCAGGTAAACCTTCAGATTTGATCCTCACACGACTCTTGGTGCCTCCACTGTGTATCAGACCCTCTGTGGTGAGTGACTTGAAGTCTGGCACCAACGAAGATGACTTGACAATGAAACTGACAGAGATCATTTTCCTCAATGATGTCATAAAAAAGGTGAGTTATCCTTCAAGCTCTCTGAGGCTGTTGCTTTCAGAAAGATTTTGTTAGAACTGAACATGTGGTTCTACTTGTCTTACTGCTTACAATCTAGCAAGCAGTCTGTACTTTAATACTCTGTCATTTGGTATTTTATTGCAAGAGAGACACTTCAAATGGAGCTGGTTGACTGGCTGCTGGCAGTATAGGACCTTCCACAGATCTGCTTGTGGATCATGGGAAATGTTTCTTTGTTTGAGTTCTGGTCCATAAACTCTTCTCTTCCCTCCCCACCCCCCCCTTTTCTGTGTGCTCTTGCTCTCTTTTTTCCCCCTCCCATGACTGACAGATTTTGAGTGGTCACTTATAATGAAAACATTATACCTAATAGTTGTCTCCATGGGTTTCTTCCATGTAGACCTTCCTCTGTCTTCACTGCATCTTTGTCCTTTCTTTATTCCACCATTTGTTTTAAGAAATCAGGTTTCAGTTAGCATAGTTATCAAATACAAGCTAGAAGTAAATTTGACAATTTATCATTTATTTAGAAGGACAGTTCTACCAGATTAATACTTTTCAGGCTTTCAAAACTGGACTTTTGTCAGGCAGACAAAATCAAGTGAGCATTAACTTTCCCGTGATTTGAAAAATTGTTAAATACTGATGATTTTCCTGGCTTAATAGTTAACTTTTAAGCTAATCTATTAACTATTAATAGATTAGTTTACCTTTTGTGGCTTGGGAAAAATATAATTTAAACAAATGTATAGTTTTGTGAACATTCGTCTGAAGCCAATACTAATCAAGAAAAAACTTTTTGCTGGGTTATCTTATGAATGGCCTTAAGCTATAGCAGTATGCATCCTGTTGTAAAGTGATCTTGCCTTTTCCATTCCACTGTATGAAGGTTTTTCAGAATTATTATCAAAAGAAGAGCTGTACTCATCAGAAAAATTCTTTGCTAGTTTAATATGTGTTATATTTATTTTCTGAACTGGATGACTATTTTGTTTAGCATAGGATATCAGGAGCCAAAACACAGATGATAATGGAAGACTGGGATTTTCTTCAACTGCAGTGTGCCTTGTACATTAATAGCGAGCTCTCGGGAATTCCTCTCAACATGGCACCAAAAAAATGGACCAGAGGTTTTGTTCAGAGACTTAAGGGAAAGCAAGGTTTGTCTAGAAAGTTGTTTTTTAACTTTTTTTCTTTAAATTAAGTCACAAATACTGGTTATTCCAAAGCATCTCTCTGCTATTGTTGTGTTGCACTTCAGTAATGTACCTTTAAAGATGTTTTAATGTGCTGGCTTAACAGGTAATATTTTGAGAACAACTTTTTATAAGAGTTTTCCCTTGTTTTTTTGTTAGGTCGTTTTAGAGGCAATCTGTCTGGAAAGCGGGTGGATTTCTCTGGCAGAACAGTCATTTCACCTGATCCTAATTTAAGAATAGATGAAGTAGCAGTGCCTATTCATGTTGCTAAAATACTAACCTTTCCTGAAAAGGTAAGTAGTGTAGAACCAAAACTTTTTCTATGCCTTTTTGCATTTTTGTTTGCTTGTTTTAACCAGACCTCAGAGTTACCCGTTTTATAGCCTTACTATAAAAGGGAGTGAATGTATTGCGTTATGTTTGAAATGTCATTCAGTGATGCTTTGCTGATTCTGTTGCTGCTGGTAAATGAAGGTTTGTACTATCAGATATATGCAAGTACTGTGAAGGCATATGGTGTAAGCAAGTGACATATCAGGAGAGAATAGTTTTGCTTTATACTTTTTGAACTCATACATAACTTTGTATGTTTGTTGCTGTGTATCTGCCTAAGGAGTGGTTGGGTTTTCTTACTTCTGCATTAACTTTCCAGATTTTTAATTTAATTTCACTCTGATGTTCTGCTCTAAGATTGGTTTACATTTTCCTCTTCTGTTCCTTGCTGACTGTTTCCTTCAGCTGCTGGAGGCTGTGAGGGGGATTGTCAGTTGAGCCTAAAATTTGAAAATGCAAAAGCAAGAGGTCCTGAAATGTGTTTCATTTGTTTCTGATTAAAGTCTTTATGCAACAGGTGAACAAAGCAAATATTAATTTTATGAGGAAGCTTGTCCGTAATGGTCCTGATGTTCATCCTGGAGCCAACTTCATACAGCAAAGGCACACACAGATGAAAAGGTATCATGCTTACCTGTAATGATTCACTTTTATTTCTTCCTATCAATTTGTTCTTGCTGCTGTGTGAAAATAGTTATATCTACAGAGATTATGAAAGATTCTAAAAATAAATTTTAAAGGACAGTAACAAAAAAATTGTCATTATCTCTTCTGGTTTAGCATACAGTTTCTTTTTAAATAGTGTGTTGGATTTAAATTTAAGTGTACATACTAATGATAGCAAACTGCGGTATAATTTTTTTTTGATGACTGAGTATCCCTCATTGGAAAATAGAGCATGTAGTACAGAGGTAAATGAAAACAGGCAGTTTTGGGCATCTTGTACTCGCTGTTTTCATGGGAGAGCTAATCTGCTGTCAGTTTATGGGTAATAAGAAGCTTATGAATGAATGAAACTCCCTATACTGCCTGGTACAATTGAAACAAATTCTTTGTTTTTATAAATCGACTTTTTTGTTAACTTGTACTAATAACTGTGGCTTTGTTAACTAATGTCACAAATAGATTCATTATTTAAAATAGCAGCAGGGCTTAATGATGTAATCCACACCAGTTTTGTCTTCTAGTTATTGTAATACCAATAATCCCAACATTTAATGGAAGAACTTGCATTATAAACACAGAATTTATTTTCAGCAGCATTTACATCTTTCTGACTTTATTTCTTCTGATTCCATTGTTATATGTTATTATAAGATTTCTGAAATATGGAAACCGAGAAAAGATGGCCCAGGAGCTGAAATTTGGTGATATTGTGGAACGACATCTTATAGATGGTGACATAGTCCTGTTCAACCGACAACCCTCTCTTCATAAACTGAGCATCATGGCTCACATCGTAAGTGCACACACAGCCTAACATGCAGGTGGTGCATCCCTGAGTATTAGGTGGTTTACTTTTGCTGGTGTTTCTCTCTTACACACACAAAAATAAGCAGTTTATTCTGAAATGGTGCATGGGGACAAGCACAAATGCACTGCAGTTCTGCTTTTGCATGGGAATTGATGTGTAACTGGGCAGTGTGCTGCCTCGACAATTCTGTTAATAGCCGTAATTCACCTCGGTATCTGTTTTAGTATACGCACTTCATTTTCATAGAGTTGATGTGATCTCTACAAAGCATGTTGTGTTCTGTGCTTTGTATAAATTCTTCATAATAGAAGTTATTAGCTGCATTTGTGTAACATAACCCAAGTGCAATTTCTTTCAGTTCCTGGTTGAGTTAAATCCTATTATCAGAAATTTTGACTTGCATCTGTAATAAAAAGAAAAGATAAAGCCTACAAGGAAGCACTCAGGCATGGCTTTTCAACTTTTAGTATGCTTGACTGCATGTGCATCACTTTCTTTTCCAGGCTAGAGTAAAACCTCATAGGACATTCAGATTTAATGAATGTGTCTGTACACCATACAATGCAGACTTTGATGGAGATGAGATGAACCTTCACCTTCCTCAGACCGAAGAAGCAAAAGCAGAAGCACTTGTTTTAATGGGGGTAGGTGGATAATGTTGGGGTTGGGATTTTGCTAGTGACAGATGGGCTGCATTCTGTACTTCTTAACTTGCATGTGAAATCTGAAATATCAAGATTCCTGGGTATAGGTAATGTGTGACTGTGAAGCTGCCTGAAAACTCTGCAAAAGAGAATTTATAATAAATTAGGACTGTTATGCAATGGTAGTCTAATAGACTTCTATTTAGCATCTGTGGAAAACACAGTGGTTTTAAGTAAGTAGATGTCATTAGTATGTTTCTGCCTGACTGCCCTTAGTGATTGCTAGCAAAATAGGGTGGCACAGTTACCAAACAGTTACATACTTTGCTTTCTGGTCTGACAGCCCAGCAGTTGCAGATGGTCAGACCGACAAGCAATAGTGTGCTTGTACTGAAGAAGGCGGTTTACCAGAGAAGGTAGGTGACAGTAGGTTCTTAGGGCAGTGTTAAAAAGGGAGAAGGGAGGGTAGGTAAAGAGGGATCTGATAGTTGCAGACATTGATCTGCGGTGTGAGAGTCAGCATCGTCAATCTGTGGATTTTCTAGTATATTGCTCCTTTAGGGTGATGAGTGCCACTGTTACTTCAGATGTACCAACACAACTGTTGGCTGCAGCATGTATTGACTTGCTGAACTGATTTGCAAGCTTAAACCCCCTGCCTCCTCCACAAGTGTGTGATTCAGGTTTGTGTGGGCCTGTGAACACTTCAGGCAAAACTGTGCTGCATAGGTGGGGGTGATTAACTGGAACAGTCATCTGAGTAAGATATAAGAAAATGGGTCTAGTGAAAGTGGCTAACTTCATTATTGCGTATTGGTAGGGACCACACAATTTGCAGTATTTCAGTAGCTCCCTGTAGTGAGTGTAACCTGTTTTGTCCCTTCTCAAGTTATCAAAGCTAACTTGTTTCCCTTTCTCTCTTCTATTTGAACAATAACACATCAAGATGATTTCAACTTCTGCTTTGGAGATAAAAAATATAATTCCCAGTAACTATTCTCAGATTATTCCTTAACTGTCAGTAGATTTGCATGGACTGTAGTAAACTGGAACTTCTAGTTTATTTTTTCCTGTTTATATTTTCAAGTTGTACCTTGATTTAGAGTAAGTTTTAACCATTTTTGCTAAAATAACTGTCTTAAACAGGAAGTTTCCTTCTGAATAACAGATGGAGCATCAGTGTCTTCAAATGTGTAATTTTTTTTTTCTTCTATCATACAGACTAAAGCAAACTTGGTAACACCAAGAAATGGAGAACCTCTTATTGCTGCTATTCAAGATTTCCTCACAGGTATGTATATAAGCTTGTTTTAGAGCTGTGTAATTTAACAGTTGTTCCTTCAGAATAATTTCCCTCTTTTCCAGAATTTTTTCTATACTAATTAAAAAAATTGTCTTTTCACAAGTCAAAGGGACATTACGAAAGTAAGGCTGTTGTTAGTCTGAAATATAATGACATTCTCAGAATCTTTTGTGATACCGTCTGCCTTTGTAACTGCAGTTATTATTAACTTTGCATATGTTTGGCTGTGTTTCTCCATCAGGAAATGAATGGGATCTTTGTGTGTGTTAGGTAGACAATGTAAACTGCTTATGATCATGGTACAGGAGTTGAATCGTTAATCAAAAATTAGTTTTAGCCTACAGTAAATATCTTCAAGCTTCCTTAATTCTTTGGGAAATGTCCAGTGAATGTAAGGAAGAAAGTGTACAAAAATTAATGCCAAGGCTTTATTTTTACCTATGGAATAGAGTCTGAGAGAGAGAATAAATTATAGAAATACATTGGTTTGAATTTTTAGAAATTGCAGTGTGGAGCAATTAAAAAAAAATCTGGAAAGGATTTACAACTGAAGCTGTCTAAACTCTTGTCATTTTGCTTATTAAGTAGGTAACTAGTATTAGAAGGAAATAATTGATACTGAATATGAAATAGATTTTAAATTTAATCTCTCACATGAATAATTTTTTACACTCTAGGTGCCTATCTTCTTACATTAAAAGACACCTTTTTTGATCGAGCCAAAGCCTGTCAAATTATCGCTTCTATCCTGGTTGGCAAGGATGAAAAAATTAAAGTTTGTCTTCCGCCTCCAGCAATTCTGAAGGTGTGTCAAACTATTTTTTTAATGTTGCCAAGACTTACTTTGTTGTGTGTTCTTGACTATAATGATGTTCTCATCAGACAGTTCTTGTTTTCTCTTGTTTTGTACAAGATCTTATATTTGTAAAGTGCAAAGATCAGAATTCAGGGTGAAAGCTATGCCAGAGTTTTTTGATGATTCCTGATGCTGAACAGAGCCAACTTCCCATGCTGCAGTCTGGACGCAGGGTTCCCTCGGGATTCAGACATAGCTTTGCTGCTATCCTGCTACTGTGAGACATACCACTTAGCCATTTTGGTGGGCAGTAGAAGATACATTGTTCTTAGTAGCGTCACTGTTACTAGCTTTGCAGACTAATGGGCAAAATATTGTGTTATTCCTTGGCTGCTCTCAGGTAAGATCCTGAAATGCTCACCAGTTCTAGGTTTCAGTATGCAAAATTTAGGAGATACTAAACCTGGAATTAGTATGCTTTAACTGTTAAATTGACAATGTGTTAAAGATTAAAGTCTATGAGTGCTATGTGATTATTTTCTTTTGTTGGTTTGTTTGGTTGGGGTTTTTGTTTGTTATATCGTGTACACAATATTTATCATGAAGGACATAATTTGGGTATTTTTCACAAACTCTGAAGAGAGCTATAGTATCATTTATTAGCTTAGGGTCTGTTAAGCCTTCATTCGCATACATTTAAGGGTGTCTGTATTTGAATTTTGTTTTTTGAGGCAAACAGTCTTGGTTTGGAGAGAGTCATATGCTTGCAAATTTGTTAAATTCACTGAGTATGGGTGTATACATTTTTTTTATATACCTTTTATTTAATTTCAAAATATTAACTGTAGGATTAGGGAAATTCAGAAAGTGAAATACCAATGAATAATAGTAATTTAAAGCAAGGTCAGAGCATTTATGGGCAGTATCAAATGTGAGTTTTATAACTTTTGCTAGTAGCCAGGAGCAGTGATTCTTTGCTTCTGTCGTTCCAAATGAATAATTTTAGCAGTAGCTGTGACAGATACTTACATTTAACTACAGCTGAAGGGAATACATAATTATATGAATCTTTAACCTCCTAAAAATTTAAACCAAAGGCACTGTGTAGAGAAGGAATTATAAATGTTGCAGTCTCTTAGAGGAATTAAATGACAGCAGCATCTTTTTTTTTTTTTTTTTTCTAATTGGAAAAGGAAATGTGACAGTAAGAGGGAGCAACAGAGCATGTTTCTGTTAACGTATGCACATATCCTTATGTAAAGGAAACCATTCTGCAGTGTTTTTTTATCTGTAAAGGTGCATTATACTCCCTATTCAAAGGAATGCTACAATGCACTTCTGCAAGTATAGTTCAGTATAGAAAGGTTCTGTATAGAAAACAATTTTACAATTAAATTCTTTCTTGCTGTTTTACTGTAGTTGTATCATAAACACTGTAATCCTAATTCTTGTCCTTTTGTTTTTCTAAGCCTGTAACACTCTGGACAGGAAAACAGGTTTTCAGCCTCATTCTCAAACCCAGTGATGACTGTCCTGTAAAAGCCAATCTACGAACCAAGGGCAAACAGTATTGTGGCAAAGGGGAAGACCTGTGTTACAATGATTCTTGTGAGTGACACTTCTAAAGCTGTGTTTTGGAAGCCATCAGATAAATTGTAGCTATTGTTTTGTTGAATTTGTTGCTGTTGAGCTCATGTAGGAGTTAAAGCAGTACTTAAGTATTCTTGAAATTAAAAAAAAAAAAAAAGTAATTTTTCTCAAAAGTTAAAGTTGTGCTGAACACCAAAAATAAGACTTTGATGTTTTCTTGTAATAAAATTTCTTTTGTATGATGCTAGGCTTGTCATGATACTAACGTAGTATTTGAAGGTGGGGGAGAAATAAAAGCAAATAAGTTTAGGAGGTGGTTGTGGAGAGGGCAAAGGGAAGAATTTAGTATCTTGAGTAGGTGTAGTGACACAGGGATTAGAAGTTAAATAGTGAAAGTAGTTAGGATATGAAGGTAAGATAAGAATCCTTAGGGTATCAAACCATCTACATCCTTCCAGCTAGGGAATTCAGTGGCAGGTGGAATGCAAAGCATCAGGGTAGAAGAGGCTGTAGGAGATGAGCAAGGCTTTGCTACTGATTTAACATTCATGTGGTAACAGCGGGAATAGAACTTGAAAAGGCAGGGTTGGCTTGGTTCATTGCTGTTCAGAAGTGTGAGTTAAGGAACCAGGGAAGGCATCATACATTTACAGTAATTCTGTCATGCAGTGTTGATGTGAGAAAGAATCTAACAATTAGGACTCGAATCCACTCTACAGCAAAGTCAGTGATTTCTTTAGAAGACAGGACTGCTCTGTGGTTGTGAAGTTGGTGATAAGCAGGGTGGCACTTTTTTTTTTTTTTTCCAGCATCATAGGGTATGTGGTGTGAAAGGCAACAAAGCAATGCAGTTCACACTCATGTGAATGTAGGCCATTGTCTTTGCTCTGCAGTCTTATAATTTTAGGAAGTATGGGAAGAATTCCTATTTTCTGAGTTCGATAGTATCAGATGATGCAGGGAACTCTTGGACTTCATTGGTGGCTCTGTTCAGTTCTCTGTAAAACTTCATTTGTGAAGCAACACTCATTCTCTTCAGAAAGTTCTCTGCAAGTTCTCCAAAGTCTCAAGAAATCCTGATAACATATTTTGATTGTATATAATAAATGATAGACCAGTAACTTTTGGTTCAAGCAGATGATTACCTAAATTCACATTGAAAATACTGAGCATCAAGTACAGTATTCAAACATCTACAGTGTTCTGCATAAAATGATTTAAATTTGTTCGATCTACATATGCTGATTCTTCTTTGACAGATGGATAATGAATTTGACAATTAACAGATATTGTACTGCTTTCATAGAAAATATGTCTAATCTTCATGTATGGAAGATACTTTTTAATTGCTTTAAGTCTAAAGCTGGTAAGGGAGATTCAGTGCCTGAAATTGAAGGTTCCTGATGAAGCAAAAATAAGTGATCTAAAAGAGGAAGTGTGTACAGGCCTACAGGCAAGATGGATGTTGTTACGATACGCTTGAAATTAGAGAGACAGCTGAGTCCAGCATGTCTTTAAAATTTAAGCTATGCCTCCAGAGATGATTCAGTTGAACTGAATATCAGAATAACGTTGTTTTATTATGCATGATTGAGGAGTTTATTTCTGGACAGATAAGATTGATTGAAGACTATTCTGCTTAATGATGTGAAATTTATTTTTAGAATTGTTACAAAAATAATTATTTACAACATTTCTCAAGTCTTCAGTTGGATACAGTTGCCTTTTTGAGGAGGAAGGGAAAAATATTTTGACTCAAGTTGGTGAGGTCAGGTTGTAGGCTGTTTCCCTTATGTACTTACTCATGCACCTATGCAGATACATTAAATGTATGTATCTGGGTTTTGTTCTTTCCCTGAACAGAGCTTTTATTTAAAAACCCTACTCCATAATTGATTATTAGAGTTTAGGTAATGTTTTGGAAAACTGATGAATTCTTTGTCTTTTTGTTTCTAGATGTCACAATTCAAAACAGTGAGTTAATGAGTGGCAGTATGGACAAAGGAACGTTAGGTTCAGGATCCAAGAACAACATCTTCTACATCTTGCTGAGAGACTGGGGGCAGGTAGAAGCTGCGGATGCCATGTCACGACTAGCAAGACTTGCTCCTGTCTATCTTTGTAAGTACATTACCTTGCAAAATAGTATCTTAAAGCAGAAATAAAGAGCAATGAAGCAAGATTTTTGCTTCAAATATGAGGTACTGCTTAAAAAAATAAGCTCATTGTGAAGCTGACAGAAACAGTGGAACAACTGATTGTGCTTATGATGGGAGAAAAAAAAAGTTCCCAATGATAATATTTCCTGGTTTTAATTTTTTTTTTTTTTTTTTTTTTGTAATAATAGCTAACCGTGGCTTTTCAATTGGAATTGGTGATGTAACTCCTGGGCAGGGCCTGCTAAAAGCTAAGTATGAGCTCCTGAATGCTGGCTATAAGAAATGTGATGAGTATATTGAAGCTCTGAACACTGGCAAGCTACAGCAGCAGCCTGGTTGTACTGCAGAAGAGACACTAGAGGTAAAATTTTTAATTTAAATCACTATATGCTTAGAGTAGAGATTTCATTAATATATTCATGTAAATTGTGAAGTTGAAAGTTGTCTTCTGAAGCCTAAAAATACAAGTAAATATGGTCCTTAGGTACGCAACTATGGCTGACTCTATCTAGCCTTAATGTTATGCATCTAAAAATGAGCGAAATACTAAACAACTGAGATCCTCCCTCCCTTCCTCCCTGGTGTATTGTGGTGACGTCCAAGAGAATAAAATTACATGGGTAGTTGGAATGCAGCTAATCGCATTTATCAAAATTTGCTAAATTAATAAAGAACAGTAATAGTAAAGAACCTAATCCAAGAAGCAAAACATTCCTTTAGTTATAGATCTGTTGGTATTCAAGTATTTTCTTGCCCCGTATTGGGGCAAAAGTTAAGTGGACTTTGGTTATGTTGTTTTTTTCTTTTTTCTGTAGAAATTTTTGATGAAGACCGGTGAATGTTGCCTGAAAGTTTACAGATAGAGACTTAATGGAGTCAGCTGAAGAACACTCTTACATTGTCTTCAATGGTTTTATTCATTTGTCTTCTAGGCCAGTCAATGTCTAGTTTTTAACCTTTAAAAAAAGAGTAGAAAGGAAAAGAAAGTGGCAAATGATTGAGTACTGTTTGTGCATGGGATTTTTAACGAACGCTGAATTTGTGAAATCTTGGATTTCAGGCCTTAATCCTTAAAGAACTCTCTGTTATCAGAGATCATGCTGGCAGTGCCTGTCTCAGAGAACTAGACAAGAGTAACAGTCCCCTTATCATGGCGCTCTGTGGTTCTAAAGGTAGGGATAGCTAAGATTTGGAAGTACATTGCTTGCTCTGTAACTGTTCTCAAAATTACTTGCTCTGTCTTCATAACCTATTTTATACACTCAGTTGTGAGGTATTAAATTCATATTTTATAGATTTGAAGTGACTCCTCTCAATAAGTACAGGTTGATTAATTAAAATTAAGCTGACTTACTCGTTTTTGCATCTTGAGATTTTTAGTACAAGTTAAAAAGACATCCTATTGGAACTCTAAATGTTCCTAAGAATTGAATTAATTGATCAGTAAGAAGTTTTCATGTTGAAGTGTATATATCACATTAAAAAATCAACTGGAAATTATGTATTAAGAATTTGAACTAATATTTCAGCCATCTTCACTGCTTTGTTTCTGAAGGATCACCTGTGTAGTAAATACTTGGTTTATACTCAAATTCATAGCTCAGCTTTCCTTTGTTTCCTATGAGAATCTGAAGAAATGACTTAAGCTTTTGCCTTTATCTCTAATAAACTGTGGAAGGCCTCAGGGTGACGTTTTCTATATAAATACTGAAACTGAAGAAAGAGGATATATTAAGTGGGAAGGTGGGTATTGTGTGCTAAGATGTTCACCAAATAAAACTTCTGAGTTACTGACTTAATTCTTTGGGACTTAACTTGTTCTAGGAATCTCGGCAGACACTGAACCCTTCATGAAAAATACTCTTAAAATATGTTTATAGAAGAAATTGTGAAGCAAAATATGTAGGTTAGGATCACAGGTTGTATAAAACAGAATCTATAGTATGAAACAGGATAATGTAAGGGCTGTAGTCAAATGAATGTCTATGATGCAAAGAAAAAGATTTTAAAAGGAGTTGTTAGCTGTATTGTAGATTAAACTAGTTGCCAGACTCTGCATAAATGCTGAAATTTACAGGACAAGTAACAGAAAAGCCTCTTTAACTGTTGCAATTCTAAATGCATTTTTTACAAATTGTAAAGCAAAATAATTTTGATGAATTACAAAGCTAAATAATAGTTCTTCATAAAAGTGAAGATCTATTAGAGGAGCACTGATATTCCACATTTGTGAGTGAAGGTTTTTTTTTTCTCTCCCTCCCGCCTCCTTCCCAGGCTCCTTCATTAATATATCCCAGATGATTGCTTGCGTAGGTCAGCAGGCTATCAGTGGGTCCCGAGTTCCTGATGGATTTGAGAATAGATCCTTGCCTCACTTTGAGAAGCATTCTAAGGTAATTCCACACGTTTACAATACACTGTGAAGAAGGATGAAAGAAGTTGCCTTAAACCATTTAAAAAAAGACACAGGATAGGATGTGTTGTCATAACATAGTAAAGGAGAAGGATCAGATATGGTGAATATAAAATGTTTTCAATGTGATTTGGGAGTACTGCCATAGGATGTCTAGTTAGTTTGACTTTTTTACAGCTAAGCCTTGCTTAGACCTTTCTAATTTAGTAAAGTTAAAGTAAGTCTGATGATACCTTTTTTGGTTCTCTTGAGAGTCCTGAAAATAATTTAAACTAAGACTTTCTAGTACAACTGGTGGGTGGGTATTGGTATGTTTAGACAGGTGAAACATACTAGATAAACCATTCTGGTTTCCACTAGGATAGACAAATATTATGGGCTACTCTGAATGTTCTGTATTTGAGTTTTGTTCTATATGAATCAATAAGGAGTCTTATGTACTAGTTAATACAATTCAATCGGATCAGATTTTATTTTAAAATGCTATCTGAAACCCAACAATTGGTAGAGAAGGTTCTGGGCACCAGACATCAATCTTGTTAGTGTGCTAGGTAGGTCATGTCAGTTGGTAGCCATGACACATGCATTTGTCATTAAATGTCCAAATTTAGAGTTCTGTAATATGAAAAATCTTTCCTGAATAAATTGAAGAAGAAAAAATACTTAATGGATTAGATGAGATGGAAAAAGTTAAAATTTAACTATAGCTGTTTTAATGATTTAGAAAGCACTACCTCTCAAATAACATTAAAAAGTTATCTTCTAAGATGAACCTCTTTGTAGGCTATACGTGGTTTTGTGTGATCATGGAGGCAGTTTGGTGTTAAAGGGGTGCCTGCATAAGGTTCAATTGGCAAGAACTCTTCTCGGCGGTGAGAGCAAACCATTTGAAAGGATTAGTTCTGTATATACATCCACTCACATTTTTTCTGGATTCCTTAGTCTTCAGCACTGCAAATGTCTGTTATACTGTGGCAAATTGAACATTCTTATCACCCTTTCAACGGTGGCAACTTTAAGAGAGGCTGAATTGTTAGTAGTTGGTGTAGTGTTTGCAAAGAGTGGCTAGAAGCATGACGAGGCTTGTAGGAAGAGAAAAAAAAGGTCTGTTAGATTAGTTTGGAAGACCTAGGCAACTGTTTTGAAGCCTTTTTCAGATCTAAAATGCAAATGTTGAACTTCAAAGCTAAATGCAGCTGAGATGATTCCTCTGTGTTTGTGTATGCATCAGCTAACTATCTGAAATAATTTAAACAACATGCAATGTGTTTTTCTGTAACATGCATACAGAATATACATTGAATTTTAACCTTTTTTTCCCTGCTCTTCTCTGTAGCTCCCAGCAGCAAAAGGCTTTGTTGCTAATAGTTTCTATTCTGGGTTGACTCCCACTGAATTTTTTTTTCATACAATGGCTGGTCGAGAAGGACTGGTTGATACAGCTGTAAAAACAGCCGAAACTGGATATATGCAGGTAACTGTCAGTGGACTGGGGGATTTTACCAGCCTTGTGAAAGGAGGAGATTTCTTATATGCATGTTGAAGTGAGGGGCGGGAGAGAAGTACATATGTTACATGTGTGTGTCCCTTTCTAATGTAACAGAGCAATTTATACTGTGGAATACATTACTCTGCTCCTGTAGATGTGAGGTTTATAAACCAGACCTCTGGCAATGGTACAGTAAGATGCTTGTGCTAAGCTGTTTCCTCTGGAATATGGGCAATAAAAGCCCTTGCTCTATGGAACTATCGAGGGCTACTTTCTATGTATTGTGTGTTCTGAAAACCCATGTGAATGATGGACGTTTTTTCCATACACTGTAACATATATTTGAGTTGCGAGTGTTTATGGTTTATCAACAATGAGAAACAGAAACCACAAATCCTTGATTTGAGTTATTTTAAAAAAAGATTGTCTGCATGACAGGAATATGGCTAAAGCTCCCTTTAAGTATCTTTCCTCTTTAGGTCACAGGCCCCTTGGCCATATCAAGTTCTGTAAGGTGTTAATGTCTTGGGCTCTATCTCTTGTGAAAAGAAATGTCCCTCCAACAAAGCTTCTTGCTATTGTGAGCAGTCCTAAGACTTCAGTGGAAATATTTAAGTAGTTTTTTAAGTATAGTCTTCTTCCCAGTGTAACAGGCAGAAAAAAAGCCAAGATAATTTGGGGCTGGGGATATGTTCAGAGGTATGCAAGTAACTCTACAAAGACTGAAATCTGTTCCTGTTGGTGTGGGTGACTAATTAGACCATTTGTGTTCTAAACTAATGGAATAATGTTTACGTGTGTGTAAGTATATAGAAACACATGTAAATATAACAAGAAATCTGAAAACTCAGACTACATGAATAAATTGTAGTACTTGGGCTTTGGAAATTTTTTTAAAATCTCAACATTTATTTCAACTTACCTTTTTTCTTCACAGTGAAAAAGATTACCCATTGATATTCTTTAGTGAGCTAATTTACTTCCGTAAAACAATGAAGTCCATCTTTCAAGTAAAAATCCTTTTAACCACTAATACTTCATAGAATGCCTTCTTTTTGGGGGATGGAGAAAGGAAGATGGTATTAAAGGGATTTCCTAATACAATGAATTAATCAAGGAGAAGTAGCTAACACTGGTAGAAAAATAGCACCTACTGGATTTGACAGATGAGTTCTTTGGTTTTTGTCAGTAAAAATAATTGTTGACTGGTTTTGCTTCCATATTCAAGAAGTGTTGTATCCCTTGAGAAATAAACCTAATTCAAGAATATGAATATTCTGTTAAAAAGAAAACACAACAAATTCCTCAGACTATAACAGATTCTTGCAGCTTAGGTTTCCTATGTCATAGAATTTCTAAATGTGGAGAATTGTATTGTTGCTTTAAATTATATTATTGTTGGCTTTAACGTTCTGGGGAATGTACAGTAAAGCCCTAGGGATTATGTATGACGTATAGGTTTTCATGCCTGCTAATCATTGTGTCAGATTTATTTACTGAGTTCAGTTTCTATACTTTTTGTAACCCCAATCAATAGCTACTTTTTAAAAGATCCCATTTACTTTCCTTGCACCCTTTTTTTTTTTTTTTTTTTTTTTTTTTTAAACTTCAGAGGCGGCTGGTAAAATCACTTGAAGATCTTTGCTCACAGTACGATTTGACAGTCAGAAGTTCTACTGGTGACATTATACAGTTTATTTATGGAGGAGATGGCTTGGATCCTGCAGCCATGGAAGGGAAGGATGAACCGCTGGAATTCAAACGAGTTCTAGACAATATCAGAGTAAGGATTACTGAAATCTTTGTTGGAAGTGTGAAAAGACGATTAAGCATGTAGAAGTACTTAATTATGGGGATAACTGTTTCAGTTAAAAAATTTATTTTTAAATACCTTTTTGGGTGGTCCTGGTCAGTCTTACAGTATTACGTATGCTAAACGTTACAGATTTTTTTTACAATAGAACAGAGCACCTAGGACCAAACTGTATATAAGATGTGAAAAATAGAATTTTGTTTGGTGCTTAGGAATAGTTCTAGGGCCTAATATCCAGATCACTAAATAAATTGCTACTGGCTTAGTTGGATGCTAGAATGGACTTGTATAACACAAAGTAATTCCTTATTAAATCAAGACATGCACATTCTTTTGTGTTGAACCGCTTCTCGGGTCAGAGGCCTAATGTGTTGTTGAATAACTCTGGACTTACTGTGATGTTTGAAGAACAGTATTTTGTGGTTTGTTGGTTGGTTGTTCTACCCTACACACCCCCTCCGCCCACCCCCACCCAAAAATAAAAGCCTTTTGTGGAACTGACTGTTCAGATTTCTTTAATGTGAGTGTAATAAATTGATAGAATTAGAAAAGTGTGTGTGTGTGTGTATACCTTCAGGTTTATGTAAGTAAGTAGAAGGATATGTGAGCCTACTCTTCACAATAGTCTGGTACTATATAGTAAAAAAAACCCCAAAACTAAAGAATGCTGTTAATCCCTGTTAATCACTTGTATGTATTTATATTTGGTGTCTTTGCAATGAAGTCTTTGTGCAGATGTTTTATGTGAAGAAATAATTTTTTTCCTCTTAAGGCTGTATATCCATGCCGAAGTGAACCAGCCTTGAGTAAAAATGAATTGGTGTTAACTTCTGAGTCTATCATGAAGAAGAATGAATTTCTTTGCTGCCGAGACAGTTTTCTGCAGGTAACTGTCACTTCCTTATTACACTATGATTAGCTTTTCCATATAAATCAAGGAAATAAAATAGAATGGTTTTGCCAATCTGTAGGAGCAATGGCTTAATTTTATGCATTGGTAGCAGGAGTAGTAGTTTGTTCAGTAATATATTTCTGTACATTTAGGGGATGGGGAGGGAGGACTAGTACTTTTAGTTCTTGTTATAATAGTTTTTCATGTTCACCACAGGAGTTTTAGAAACAGGAGAAAAATGTAGTGTGTTTTGTTGGGTTTTTTTTTTTTTTTTGAGTAGAAGGTGCTGCTGATCTGAGATATCTTGCTGGACTTTCTCTCCACAGCAGGATGGTACAGTAATTATGTGCTTCCCCTGGGACACTAGAAATTAAATATTACATATTGACTCTGTCTAAGAAACTACTGAGTATACTGTTACTATGCATATGTTTTGATATTACCGACTTTCTAGGGTAACTGGTTTTACTCATCTGTTTGTTTTCCTGTAGTAGAAACACCAGCAATACACTTACACCTATTTACCTTGCTTTCTTATGATACTAGTCCAGCAAAAAACTTATCACATGAAGTGCTTTGATGGAGGGGGCTTATCTTCTGGGGAGTACTTACCTGTCTTTTGAGGATGAGTGAATGTTCACATGACTGTTTGCACATTGAATTGTAAAAATCAATTTGTTTGAAAGAGTATTAAGCAGTGTAAATGTTTATGAGAGCAGCCATACTTAAGACTACTTTGGGAGACTGTGAAGAAGCCTGTAGAATTAACTTGCCTGGGGATGTGTAAAGCTTGATGAACCTTCTGAGAACTGGCAGTGATGAGAACGTGCTTTTGAAGGGTTTCTTTTTAATAGGTCAGTTTTATAAACCTGATTTGCAATTCTGTTGCTAGGGGAGAGTTGACAAAATTATTATATCCATACCTGAAATATGCTGTAAATCTTAACTGCCTCTCTGAAGGAAAAAAATATGCAATATACTACTTGTCAGAGTTTGGAGATAAAGCTGCTCTTTGAGGTGTTTTAATCATATCATATCTAGATAATTGCTATTAATTTCAGAAGCACAAAAATGGCTACATCACCTTAATGGTAATTAGCTTAACAAGATTTTTAAGTTTCAGATACTGTTACATTTTCTTTTTTCCTTTTCTTTTTTTGTTCATCCTTGAAGACATTAACTGAGACAGGTTATGAAAAATATAATGAGGTAATTGCAGCATGTGTGTGCACTGTGTGAGCATTAATGTTAGTGCTTTTTAGCTAAAGATGTGTGTATAGTGCTAAAGTTAACTGATTAGCGTATATACATTACTGCTGGTTAAATTATAATGTAGATGTTCATCACAGTAATTTACAGAATTCCTTTTAATGGTGAAAACCATGACTCATAAATTGTTCCCCATACTTAAATTTGAGGATTTGGGGGATTTGAGGAAGCTTTCTTTTAGGGATATTAGCATGTTTTTCTGATGTTTTCCTATCCCTTCCTCTACTTTTCCCTTCCAGGACAGAGATAATACTTACTGCTGTTATTTTACCAGGACGTTCCTATAACAGGCTTATCCACTTTTGTCCAGAAGTCTAAGTAGCCTTTTTCAAACAGGCTGGTGTTCATTCTGCCTGCACTCTGCTCTCACTGGAGGGAATTCAACTGATGAAAAAGCAGATTGTTGTCTGGCACAGTTTCAGTTGTGTTACTATTTTAAGGTATTTGAGTATATCAGAATACAAGTGAAGGTAAATTTTTACTTTCGCATTGAAATTGAGGAATTCTTAGAAACCCTCACAATTAAAAAAAAAAAAAAAAAAAATCATTTTTCTGGTTTTTTGAGATGATAGAATATGAGTTCTGGGGAGTGCAGTGCAAACATGTAAGAGACTCGGCACACAGCCAGTCAGTGCTGGCACATGTAGAGCTGACCTGATGGATCTTCCTGGACTTGAATGGATTAGTGCTGAATCTTGAGGGATTGTCTGTACCACTCTGTATTTCAGAGGGCTTCTTAACTGTAAGGATTCTTGTATTAGCAGTGCTTCATGTATATAAATGATCCCACTAGCTTAAGTGCTGGGAAACATGATGCAAACACCTGACTGACCAGGCTTTATACTCTGGACTGCAATTTTGACTAAACATTGGCTCTCTAGGAGCTGATAAGGTTCATGTTGATCCAGAATTTACTGAGTAAGTTAAGTGCCTTTTTGTTAAACAGGTCCAGACTAAAAGACTTAATGGGTTTGACTATGTGAAAGACCCATTGGTCTTTTGAGCTCAGTCTGGAAATCACATAGTTGTGCTCATAGAGGACAGTTGCACTGAAGATGATAGCTCCATAGAGAAAGGCTCAGCAAAGAGTGGGCTACATCTTCCTTCTATTTGTAGCATAAATTGATCCATAGTTTGGGTAAACTGCCCACAGATAATTGAAAGTTGAGAGGAGTAAGTAATTCCCTCTTTTAGTTCTTCTGCATGAATAAAATTCTCAACAAAGAAAAATAAATCTCTTAAGAAATTTATCTTTTATTTCTCACACTTTTTCACTCCACTACATGGAAATAATGTATCATTTCAGTAATTTATTTTTACAATTCAGAATCGTATGTAACGATTTAGTATGCTGAAGATTTCATTTTTTTAAAAGTATTTTCGTACTGAGGGACTGTCAAAGAGGAAAAGTTGACAATAAATAATTAGCCATAGTGCTGTTTGCAGTCCTACGCTGTTTTGGTCTTAAGTTTGACCTTTCTCCATATGACCACATGACTAAATCTCCAGCCAGTATGACAGTTTCTTTTGAGGAGGTGGTGGTGTGTTTTATTATTACCGTCTCCTGGTTTTATGTGAATAAGTGAACATTTAAAAGAACTTAGTCTTCAGTGTTCTAGAAGGAGAAGTTAGCATTACATCTTCTACTGCCTTCTCCTTCCACTCCTCCCTTCCTGTTCCTCCACAAAAGAAGCGTCTTTCAAGATAGAATTACTTTAAAAATCTCTCCTGAATGTTTTGGTTGTTTCTCTAGATCAAATATTCTGGGCAGTTTTCTGTGTCCTGCAATATTCTTTTTTTAATGCACTTGTAATAAAAAGATCAATTTTTTCTAATAACACATTATTACTTAACACTAATTTTTAGGAAATAAATCAAATTATCAATTTTATGCAAATATTTCAGGGTCAGAAACTTATAAAATGGCATAATATTTCATTTATGAATTAATATGACTTACTGCAGGGCAAAAGGGGCAGAAATGTATGAATGCATCCTGTTGTCATCCAAGTGGGGAAACAACTTGAAGCATCCGTTCCAGCAGCACACTTTTATTGTTCATTTGAACTTTGTTCTGGTATTCACAGAAAATAATGTATTGTCTGAAAATACCTTGAATACCAGAAAAAATGTTGTTTTGAAAATCTAAGGATTGTGTTAGGTTGTAATAGTGTATTGGTAATGATTTATGAGTGCAGTTGAAAAAAAAAAAAAAACCACCAAAAAACCCCACAAAGAAACCCAACAAAAGAACCAAAAAACAACAAACCAAACCAAAAAAACCCCCACCAAACCTGCAAGTAATTTTCAGTGCCTGACTACTGCATTGGTTGGAAGGAGTCCAGTACTGAGTGAAGAAGAGCTGATACTATGTAATCATCATCCTGGTTGTCAGACAGGACTGGTGGGGTGGAAAGGGTTTAAAAGAACTCTAAAAATCAAACTACTCGCTCCTCCATGGAGGTTTTTTTAAATCACTGTTGAAGTAGATGGGAAGAATTTTGTCTTGCTTTTTGTTTATAATTTGGTTTTGATAAGCCTGTTTTATGGTAATGACTTGCACTGAATCCACTTTCAAGGAACAGTTTAATCATGGACCTTGTATTTCATGAATTCTAGTGTACATATCTATATCCAAAGTCTAATGCTCAAATGATGTTTCATAGAAACGTTGGTATTTTTCTGATAGTATTGTTTATGTTCCAGTAAAGACAGCTAGAACTACTTTTGGGGAAACCTGTTAAGAGAGTGAAAGGCTTAGGTACTGCTACATCTTAAATACAATTATCTGCAAGACCTGATATCTATTTTGAGAGGGTTTTTTCCCCCAAATAAAGTACATCTTAAATCTCTGAAATCTATCCAGAAAGTGTTCTTTATATACTTCTTCTCATGCCACAGCAGTCTTTCTGCTTTATTTTGAATACTGAGAATGTGTGTGTGTTGGTATATAAAGAAAATAAGAATTTTGTTATTTTAATTATTTTTTTCATGGTACAATCCGTTTCAGTAAATGATGAGTAAGAAGGAAGGATGAACCAAAGTCAAATCTTTTTTTTAAGTTTTCATTGTGTGCTAAGGAAGGATGCTTTGATTCAGCGTTGACCATATTCCTCATGTACTGCTACTAATTTGTGGTTACACAAGAGTGAATCTGGTTTTCTAAATTCTAGTGTATGTCTGTGTTTAAATTTTGATGTTACTCTCTTCATATTGTGCATTGTTAATTTATTAAACATTCCATTAGGAGCAATAAGCAAATAGCTTACGGCTGAAAACTTCTATATGAAGACCATGTCTTTGCTTACTGTTTTAATGTAATTTCAGGAAATTAAAAAATTCATCAAAGGTGTTTCTGAGAAGATAAAAAAAACTAGGGACAAGTACGGCATTAATGACAATGGCACAACAGAGGTAAATGATTTCAAGGGGATAATTATGTAGTTGTTTGTAACCTTCATAAGCTATTTCTTTTCCAACTGTTCTATTCTCATTTCAGCCTCGAGTTCTGTATCAGTTGGATAGGATTACTCCAACACAACTAGAGAAGTTTCTAGAGACTTGCAGGGACAAATACATGAGGTAAGTGTTTAGCCTGTTATTTTCTCTCAATTTATCCCCCTCCTGCCCCCAATTCAGAATTTATTGCTCTGTTTGCAATCTAGGAGTGTGTTTTGCTGGTTTTACTGTATGACGGTTGATTCTGTTCTGAATGTTGTACAAATAATAAGTAAGAAACAGTTGGCCCCAATGATATAAACATTGCAAGACAAAGGTAGAATGCCAGAAAAAAAGGCATTGCCATCTACAGGTGGGCTTGTCAAGGCAGACATGTTCACTTTCTCCCCCTCTTGCAGGAGATTGTTCCAAACTTGCAAACAATCCATGCAAAATAGTGTCTGAATAGATCAGTTTCAAATCCATATGAATCATGATGGTTATTCTTGATCTACATAGTCTGTTCTATACAGTTACATCACACTTTGTGAATCTGTTATGCAGTCGTAGGAGCCTTTTGTTTGCTATTCTTGGTCTCTAACAAGATAGTGGTAGTGTGGATATTTTCATCTCTTATTATCCGTTGAGAATTGCTTCATTTACTTAAGACTGCTTGGATTTGTTCATTAGCGTACAGTCATTGGTGACATCTACTTTGTGGCCTCACACTCACCTGCATCATTTGTTTACTAATATTTTTTTCTTTTCTAGAAAATGCATACATATGTTAAATTCTTAACCTCACTATTTAAAATCAATTACTGGTTTTCTGCTCTTATTAGGATTACTCAAGTTTGTCTTAAGTGCTCTTAAACATTAATTGTCTATTTTACTGTAGTAGACTGTTTTAGCATACTATATTATGCTGATAAATGAAAGATGGTACAGTTGGAAAGGTTGTAATTGCTGTGATGATTGTTTTTGTTTTATAGACTACTGTCATTTTACCAGGAGAAATCTCTCAGCTGGGATTTCAGCAATTTTTGGGTAGATATGACATGAATGTAAAGAGTTGTCCAAATAATAGTGAAAAAAATAACCTCAATTTAAACAATTTTGTTTTACAGCTACCCATAATTAAGTCCTTTATTACAAGCTAAATCACTATCAGACAGCATTTTTACTTGGTAAGAGCTCATCAAGGAAAATGCAAGAAGCTGCTACGAGTTAGATTGATGTAGGAAGTGTTATTGTGCCTTAAGTTCAGAGGTTGTATTTACAGAATCACGCAGATTCATTCAGGTTGGAAAACACCCTTGGGATCATCGAGTCCAGCCATCAGCCCTACTCTACAAAGTTCTCCCCTACACCATATCCCCCAACATGTCATCCAAACAACCCTTAAACACATCCAGGGATGGTGACTCCACCACCTCCCTGGGCAGCCTATTCCACTGTCTGACCACTCTTTCTGTGAAAATTTTTTTCCTGATGTCCAGTCTGAACTTCCCCTGTATTTGCTCTAGAAAAGCAGATCACATTACACTCTGTGCAAGCTGAAAAATGTGAACTGCAGGATCTGAACAAAACTGTAGGGGAGAATGTTAACTACCGCTCACGTCTCAATCTGAGATCTCATCGTATAGTGGTCTTCATTTGGGTTTTTTGACCTGTAAGGACAAACAGTTGTCAAAGTACATAAATTTTAGAAAGGGGCAAATGTGGGAATGAGTACATTACATGTATAACTTGCAATTGAAAGTAGATCATCAGTATAGGGATTTTGAATAGGGTGAAAAACAAGAAGGCATAAATACCTGGATTTTGTTCTTATTAAAAAGTAATGCGCATAATCATTTCTTAAAGAAGATTTAATAAAGGCATTTCATGCTTAAACATATAAAGGGAAGTTTTGGAAATTTTGGCATATGGGATTTCCCTCAATGGGGAATCCTGAATCTACTGTTTAATGTTTAGGAGGAAGAGTACAATAGTTTTATTTGGTGCTACAGATTCCCTTTGATTTGTGGAATGCCTGTATACAGGGCATCTTCTTGTCTTGCATGAAATCAGTGTCTTAAGTATTGCTAACCTTTTAACCTCTCTCCTGTTCGTCTATTAAAATATATCTATATATAAACAAGCTTCTCATATATCTACCAGAAAAGTTTCTGTCTTTGCTCCTTAGGATTTTATGCCTTCTGGAGTTCTGTGTCTTTTTCTGTGTTTTTTAATGAGAGAATTTCTTTGTCAGGGCACAGATGGAGCCTGGTTCTGCAGTAGGAGCTCTTTGTGCACAGAGTATTGGTGAGCCTGGCACACAGATGACTCTGAAGACTTTCCATTTTGCTGGTGTTGCTTCAATGAACATCACTTTGGGTGTGCCAAGAATCAAAGAAATCATTAATGCTTCAAAGGCTATTAGGTACTAATGTTGTTTTGTTTTGTTTTTTTCCATTTGCTTAAATGAAACCTGATGGATAATTTTGCAGTATGTGATAGTGTTCTCAGTAATATACTAGACAACATTGAATCCATGGAATATCAGAACACAAAAAAATCTAATGTCTGTCTAACTAAGTGATACTTAGGGCCAGAGAAGACATAAGTTTTATTTTTCTGAAAATCAAATGAGGTAAAATGATTACTTACTAAGTTTAATATTCTGTTAGGTGTCTCTTGTATATTATGAAACTTTCTGGTGTTTAGCAATAGTTGAAGCAGTCACTTAAATAATACTAGAATAGTGTACACCATGTAAATAGCCACTAGTTTGCTGTGTTATAATCTGTGTGTGCTTGTTTTTACTAGTCTGAAGTACATGAGCAGTAATTTTCTTAAAGGTACCTGACTAAGCTGAAGGAGTCTCTGTCTTATTAAATACTACTTTAGATGAAAAGATCATTGCCATAAGGCAAGCTGTAATTCACATTGCCATCTGTAATCTAGATAAGCAATGTTCTAACTTTTTTGTGTGTGTGTTTATTCTTTGTAGCACCCCTATTATAACAGCACAGTTGGACAAAGATGATGATCCTGATTTTGCCCGTCTGGTTAAAGGAAGAATTGAAAAAACTTTATTAGGAGAGGTAGGAAAAATTGTATTATTGCTAATACTTTAAATGTAAACATTAGCCAGTTGCTGTGGGGCATTTTAACCACTTTCCCATGCTAAATATTTTGTCCTTATCTCTTAAAGATTTCAGAATATATTGAGGAAGTGTTTCTTCCAGATGATTGCTTTATCCTAGTGAAGCTGTCTTTAGAGCGCATTAGACTACTGAGACTAGAGGTGAGTCGTTCAGTTCTTATGCAGAATATGCCTTGGGCAAATTCCAAAGGGTCTCTTAATCCTGCCTAAGGAACAGAAATTAGACCAGTGGAAGTTAAAACAAGAAAGTGAACAAAGGATGTCCTATGACTACATCACATCTGGATTTTTTCCCCCTTTTTTTTCCTTGTAAAGTAAATTATTTTTTCTTTGTTTGGAAATGAAACAACATACATTAATTTCTTGGTGGCTTGTTAAATACAAGGATGCAAATTCTGTCCATTAGGTAACAGGCCTGTACCCTCAGCCCAGGAGAGTATTTCATGCAAATTATAAGAGTAACAATTTTTATTTATTTTTCTGTTACACTTTTTTATATTCTTTTGAAAGACCACTTCATGTATTTGAGCAGATTTATATAAACTAAGAGAGATACCCTGACATTTGCTGGCTGACTTTTGCCACAGGTGAATGCAGAGACTGTGCGCTACTCTATTTGCATATCAAAGCTCAGAGTAAAGCCTGGGGATGTTGCTGTCCATGGAGAAGCAGTTGTATGTGTGACCCCTCGTGAAAATAGCAAGAGTTCAATGTATTATGTATTGCAGTCCCTGAAGGAAGAACTGCCAAAGGTAAAAACAAAGACTGTCTCATGCTGTGGTGGGACGTAATCAGTAATAGCAATTTGGGGTTCTGTGGTGGGAAGATAAAATAATTCTTGTCAGTACTGACAGTGAAGATAGTCTGAACCCAGAACTCTTAGATTGTGCTACTGATTGATGCCGCTGCTTTACAGTTGAAACTAAGCCTCCATTACTAATCTTTATATATAAAACCAAAGCCTTGATACTTTCCTTCAACATTTTACTGAACCATTCAGAGTGCAGCCATTGTATGAAATATATCTTCTTCCAGCTGCATCTAGAATTGAAGTACATGACAGTATCTGGCATTTTTGCAGATGTGAGGAGACACAGCACTGAGGGATATGGTGTAGTTGAGAATGGTCAGTGTTAGGCTAATGGTTGGACTAGATGATCTTCAAGGTCTTTTCTAACCTAGGTGATTCTGTGAGACTGTCTATTTCAGATTTAAAAACAGTGATAAGTGAATGTTATTATTGGCAGGATGCCCTTTCAGTTGTGCAGATCTACTGCCATGCAGTGACCCAGGCCTGAGTGTGAGGATATCTGACATAAAATGCAAAACGTAGGTTTATAGTACAGTGTGAATGTCACATTTGCACTAGTGTATCTTGTTTCATATGTATTTTAATTGAGTATTTACCCCAAAGACCAGAGTTTCTAAATAGGTTTGAATGCCAGTAGGGATTACCCTTTTATACATCATTACTATACACATCCAAGTTACTAGGTTGGTTTTTTTTTGTGAAGGTTGTAGTGCAAGGTATACCAGAGGTTTCCCGAGCTGTCATTCATATTGATGAACAAAGTGGAAAGGAAAAATACAAACTTCTAGTTGAAGGTGATAATCTGCGAGCTGTCATGGCTACTCACGGAGTGAAAGGAACAAAAACATCCTCTAACAACACTTACGAGGTAATGTTCAAATGGGCACTGTAGTTTTTTTTCCCCTTAGCATCTTTGTTACAAGTGCTTGTTTGTGTTCAGATGCAGCAGTTGATATCTAATCAAGCCTGATTTCATTAATAGGTATCAGAATGCATTAACATAAGATAATAATTTGACTGGCAGCACTGTTCACTTCGAAAAAGCTTTTTCTATAAATATTTTTTAAACTGAGAAATGCAAAAGGGTAGTAATGGAGTATTATCTGACATCAGACAGTATTTGTTGCAGGAATATACTTGCTGCAAGCATTTGGCTCTTCATTAATCTAAAGCAATTTCTTGTATAGGTAGAGAAGACACTAGGAATTGAAGCTGCTCGGACAACCATTATCAATGAGATTCAGTATACAATGGTGAACCATGGTATGAGCATTGACAGGAGACATGTTATGTTGCTGTCTGATCTAATGACTTACAAGGTTTGTATTATCCTTTTTCTAGACATTGCATTGGCCTGTTTGTACAAATTAGTTTTACCATGTTTGAAAAGGATGGGTGAGCTATGGAGATGGAAATCAGTATAAAGAACTGAAGATCATACTGACCAAATACTGTTGTTTGTCTATCAAACAAAATGTTTAATCTAGTTCCAGAGGGTAGGGAGAATAAAGTCTATTTTGACAGAGAATAAGTTGATATAATGAGTAGGGAGTCATAATTTTATATTGGAAATAGGAATCCTAAAAATTGTAGTATGAAAACCAACTGTTTGGGTAACCATGCATGCAATTTAAGGCTTGCTGTGCAGAAAACCACATGGGGTGGTTCATAGCAGCTGCACTCTTTATAAGAGTCAAAGGATACAGACATTACAAATAGAATCAGATTACATGTACAGTCTTACAGTACTTGTTAGTAGAAAATTGTATCTGTTCTTTATTGATTGACTTTATTTACTTTATATCCAATCATACTTAGATTTGAGTACACTTAGTGAAGTAAGATTTTCCACTTTGCCTGCCAGAGCGCATGTGTTTATTTTGGGTAAGATGAATGAAGGAATTCTGACCTCTCCCAAAACTGTAGGGCTTTGTTGTACTGAGCTGCAGCAGTCCCCAGCACTGGCTTGTGTGGAGCTGCAACACAATAGTGGAAAAGGGCATCAGAGTGCAGTGTTTTACACTTGTTGGGCTCCTAGCAGGGATTCTTTTGTCTGTACTTCTGACTTGCACTTCTGTGCACAGTCTGTTATAATCAGGATGTTTATTAGAAACTAGGCAGAAATAACCCATGTTAGTTTAAAAAGCTAATTACTTTTTTCTGGAGGGGGAAAAAAATGAAAATGTAACATCTTCATTACATCTTCATAGCATCTTAGACTTCTGGCAGCTGAAGTCAGATTTATCAGTAGATAATAGGCAGTAGCTTCAGCGCAGTGCTTTCAGACCCCACTCAAGTTCATGGCCACATTTCTTTCAACTTTTCCAATATTATTGCCTAAAAAAACCACCCCAAAACCAACCACAACAACCAAAAAAACCCCAAAACACATTTATGAGAGCTTCTGTTGTGTATGAATAATCACTTCTGGTTTATTTAAATATTGATTATTACCAACCATTAACCTTCAGGATGTTTAAAGCAGCACATTATGACAATGCTATTTTACTTGTTTCATGTCTGTTAGAATAAAAGCTACATTTCTGTTGTTCACTTAATTTGCTTCTTCAGCAAACATAACTGACCTCCAGCCACTATTATGATAGTCTTTCTTCGGGTTTTTCATCAATCAAGGGTGAAGTGCTGGGCATTACTAGGTTTGGACTGGCAAAAATGAAGGAAAGTGTGTTGATGCTGGCTTCTTTTGAAAAGACTGCAGACCACCTCTTTGATGCTGCCTACTTTGGACAGAAGGATTCTGTTTGTGGTAGGTGTTGCAAATTCTGTTGCATTTTGTGGTCCTTACCCAGCATTTGTAAACCTCTTCAAAGCACTGGATTTTTGCCCTTGTTAAGATTTCTGTTCAGCTTGTGAAAAACTTCAGGTCAGAGGCTAATTCATGCTTCTCAGTCCTAGGAGTTTGGTGGATGTTTCTCTACTTCTCAGTCAGAGATCTTTAAGTCAGTTGGACGTTTGTTGTATGTTTCTTAAAGTAGACTTTTAGTAATTTGGTTTTGTTTTCTTGCCACACAGCTCAGTGCAATACCAGGATAGCTGTCCTGCTATCAGTAGTTCTGTTTTCAGTTTTGAACGTTTGTGTATCTTCAACACCTAGAGCTGATTAAGGAGACTAGTAATTAGGTTTTGTTTTCATTCCTGCTCTGATAGCATAGGTGAATATCATACTGTGCATAATGGTTGCTTATGTAATTTGTCAGTTGTAACTGAAAATAAACAGGCAGAGTTCTTGACCTCTTCAGTTTAATTCTGATGTAAATAGATACAAATTCTGTTTGTTTGGGTGGTTTTTTTTTTTATTAGAACCCTTGTTTAGCAGTACTCATTCATTAACAGAAGAGGGAAGATCCCTGTCCTGAGAAACTTATTTTTAAATGCATCTGTTATTTTAAAGTTAACATCCACTGAATCATCTTCTCACTGAATTTATGAAACAAGTTTAAAACAATATGTATACGTGCATATGTACATACAGCCAAACACAATATTCAATTAGATTAGTTTTGTCATTCTGTTTGTCTCTTAATTTTACATTTCCACCTACTCTAATATTTGGAATTGAATTTTTTTTAAACTCCTTGGCCCTATTCTTCCCAGATTTCATTCTCCTTTAAGCTACATACATTTTGGAATGATTTGTTAACCAGTCTACATCTAGTAGGTTAAAGAGAGAAAAGGAAAAGTGAAGCAAGTTTCACTCTCTTCATCTGTTTGTGTAAGGTCTACTACCATCCTGGAGCTGTAACTGCTCATTTGGAGTTTCTGGGTGCTAATGAAGCATGAAGATATGAATAGATACCTTAGAGTTTACTAGTCTGTATGTATTTTTAGGTGGTCTTAGATGGCGTTGTCAATTTTAAACAGTGTTTTGTGGACAGTGTATTTACTGAATCACTGGAATCTGTTAGAAACCTTTGTATTACTACTTGTATTTTAAGAACTCTGCCGCTTTCTCTTCAGCATTCCATGTGAGTGGGGTTTTCTTTTTTCTTCTAATTATAATTTTTTGCCCATGATTAAAACAGAGATCCTATGGGAGACTCATTCCATCCTGGACAGTAAAGAAAAGTCCTCTCTGAGCTGGTAAAATCTTGTTCTGAATAATGTGGAAGCCAAAGATCTTTTCCTGTTGCCTTCTATATGCATGTTTTAGTTCAAATAAGGAAATGGAGTGGACAAAACAGAAAATTGTTGTCTGACTTCCAAAACGGAAGAGATGATACTGGCTTGCTTGTATGATGTGGCCATCACTAGTTATCTCTTTGAATTGCTATGAAAAGAGTCTCTTACACACTCATGGTTTTGCATCTCCAGAGCAGGAAAAAAATTGTAAATGTTGCCAAGAAAAATGAGTCTGTACCCAAAATCAACTATAGCTGCTGAACTGAATGGCATTGCAAATCAGTGCTTCTCTTGAATGTGTGGGTGTAGTTTTAGACCATGTGGCCTTTGAATCCCTTTTGTCTTGAAAGGTGCTTCCCCTGCACCCCTGCCCCAAGAAAATGGGGAACAGCTGATTCCCACTTTACCTACAGAAAGACAAGCATTTTCTTTTGAGAACTGGTGATGCCACCTTTCAGTGGGCAGAGTACAACCAGTTCCAGCAGCATCCACTGGAGGCTGGAAGCAGGATCAGCAGGAAGTGCTACTGTCTGCGAGTCACCGCTTAGAGATACAGTCAATTTGCCTTTCTGTACCCTTCCCAAAAGCAGCCAACAGCACCTCACATCTAACTTCAGAGTGGGAACTGATTGCTACAGATCACTGCTGTGACATTCATTTACAAGGAGGTGGTCTGGAAGAGAAGCGTCAAAAATAAACTGCAATAAGATCAGTATGACTGGCTGCATCTCTACCTTACTGCTTCCAGCTGGAAATGAGAGCAGCAGTTCATAGCTGTCAGCCAGATGCTTAGATCTGCACCAGATTATAACTGGTGGTGTTATAATACAAGACATTGCACTGGAGGAGGCTTGGATGGTCATTAGAGCAGAGCATGCTGCCCTGGCAGTTCTGCCACCAACACCAGCATTATCTTTACCCGTCCCATATATTGTCATTGGCCTCTAGTATACATTAATCTGAGTAGATGTTAACATACATCTTACAGCAGCATGTTCTGTTCAAATGTTTCCTGCTTTATGGGACTGCTGTCAGATGCTGCAAACTATTATTTTGTCCTTAAGGCAAAAGGGAGGTGGGGAGGAAGGCTTCTGGTTGTATACATGGAAGTATTGCAAAGGGAGAAGGATTCCCAAAATCTAAATGAGTTTCCATGGTTCAGTGGTTGGCTCGGGTTGAAAGGTGGTTGTGCATAATGTTAGCCAATACATAGTAGAAATGCAGCAATGATCTAAGAGCAAAAATAGAGAATTTTCATTCATATGCATTTAAATTACCAATCAAATCTTGCTAGAATGTTAAGTAAATTGATTTTTATCCTTTCTGCATTCAAAGGTACAGCTATTTATTGTTACTTTCTTAAACATTTCTGTGAAGGACAATACTCTTCATTCAGATCATAACAGTATGCTGAGGAAAAAAAACACTGGTATCTGATAACTTGCTTTTAATGTGGAACATTCTTTGGAAAAGTTGTATACATCAGTAGATATGGCACATAATTGTGCTGGCACATTGCTGCGAAAATGTTATAGGTGTTAAAAACAGTTGGGACAGATTAAATCTTTCAACTCAAAGCAAGCACTTTTTGAATCGTGTAAAGGCAAAAAGTGGTATAGCTCAAGTAATGGTATTCCTCTTTCATTAGGAGATTGCAGGGTTTACAAGGGAACTTGGCCAGATTTGACCAAAGTCTTAGTGCAGAGTCAGAGAATGAACAGGAAGTAACTTTTCTTTGCATCTTCTGCTATTGGCACTGAGTGGAACATGTCTTCTCCTTCTGAAGCTCTTTCATTACTAGAAAAGGTGTTTTGGTTGGATTGAATTTTTCCCATTTAGAAATTAAATAACTTACCTGATGACCATAACATTTATCTAGTGATGACACCTTTGTCTTTACATGTGGAGTTCAAGGAGATTTGATAGGCAATGCATACAGAATGAAAACAGGCTTATAAATCCTTACTCTTCAGATGTTCAACAGGTTTGTTTTTTTTTTCCTAGGTGTTTCTGAGTGCATCATCATGGGAATTCCAATGAATATTGGAACAGGACTTTTTAAACTGTTGCACAAAGCAGACAAAGAATCAACCCCTCCTAGGAGGCCACTGATATTTGATAATAATGAATTTCATATTCCCATTGTTACATAGCACTTGGACCATAGTACAAGATAACAGAACAAGAAATAGCAAGAAAACATCTTTAGATTAAGAAATATGTATTATCAGTTCTGTGTGTCTCAATCACTGTGAATTGGTAAGTGAAATACTATCAAAAGAACTGCCTAATTGTGTACTGCATGTTGTTACTACAGACCCTGAAAGGAGAAGCTTCTCTGCACCAGAGAGTGGAAATAAATTTCAAGTGGATTTTAGCTGATAAAATTTTATTTTTCATGTGATAGAGTTAGATCTTTGTGTTAATGGGTGGAAGTTTTCATTAATTCAGTATTATACATGTGTATGCAGATGTGCTTAATAAAACCAAAACTGCAAGAGTTCTGTGAGCTTGGACAGAGTGCATTTGGAAGTGTCCTTTCAACAGGAGCTGCAAGGGTCAGTCTGTAGCTGTTAAGAACAGAGGCTTCGGAAAGCTAGAAGTCAGTCTGATTCATTCATACTGAGTTAAATTTCAGGAGTGGTGTTGAAAGTGTTTGAAATGTTTGGTCTTACGGTTTTTTTAGTTGTTTTTCTTTTATCCCATGTTATTTTCCAGTAAATGGTTTTCTTCCCCAGACTTTGGGATGTACCTGCAAGAAGCTTCAGATTATAAAGCTGTTCCTAAATTCTGAGAAAACTGTTATAAGAACATTACAAATTATAAATACCTTTTCATATTACAGCAGTTGTTATACTGCTAGAATCTGTAATTTACAGTAGTCTTAGTTTTTTGAAAGTTTCATAATTGATCAGTATGATCTGATTAATCTACTTTTATTTTAATATGTAAAGTAGAAGTGGAAAGGGAAGCTGTTTTCATGCATTGCCATGAAATAATTTGGTAATACTTTAATCTTGGACCCACTGTATCAGTTTTCAGAATGAATACAGATTTAAAATTATTTCAGTGTAGTATGTTTAAATTTAATCTGGTGCTATGGAGGAGAAGTATCTTCTCACCATTGTTTGGATATTCAGTGTGCTCATAACATGAGTCAAGTTTGGAGAGAAATGGAGAAAAAAAGCTGAAGTTGTGCACTCATGAAGTAAAAGCAGGCTGCCTGAATGATTTTGTGTTTGAAAATGAAGACAAAGTGCAGCAGCAACTTGTTCATGTAGCAACTAAGAGAAAACTGTAAGGCTACATTCAGAGACTGTAAACCTGTTGTTTTAAATCTTAAGGTGCCACTGTTTGGGTTTTTTTTAGATATCCATACAGAGAAGACGTGATGTGAAATTCGACATAGCTATTCTCAAATTGTTTTGTATTTTCAGTGTGATACTAAGATATACTTCTGCCTAGATTTTGGCAGGGTAAAGACTGAGAATGTAATGCATTTAGTATCTGCTCTAAAAGCCATATATATTTTGCTATCTCCCTTTTAACAGTAGAAATTTCAGAATAAATATAGATTATTTAGTGATCTCAGTGAGATTGCCACATAGTGATTTGTCTGTATAGAAGTCTAACTCTGTTTCTGTTTTAAAGACATTAAGTATAAGACAGGGAGGGGCCAAATGGATAGAAAGCCCATAAACCTTTCTTGTGAAGAAGTACTTCATTTTATCATGGGAAATTCTACTGAAAGTGCTTGGTATTTTTGTGAATAAAGATTCTTCTGAAGATGTAAGTGGGTGGAGTTGTGCTCAGATAAGTAACTTTTTTTTTTCTTTTGGTAAATACAGTGAAATGCAGCTATTTAAATGGTGGGTTTATTCTCTTGTATGTGTTAAAAGTATTCATTAAATTACATATATTCTTGTTGTCTTTAATATGCCAATAAAAAGAGGCAGAGATAAAGAAAATGTAAAACTTTGTGTTTGTTTATTGATGCATTATATTTGTGCATGATTAATTTACAGATGACCTAACCTCTATCTTCCTCATTTTCTTAGTTAAGACAGTTGAAAATTATTTGAGCTTAACTCTCAGGTATTTGCAACCTAAATGAATATATAATATAAAGCCTATCTTGCTTAAAATAAATATAAGCACATCTTGCCCTCTGGGCAGGCTATATACTTCATCATAAGTATTTCAGCCAAAAACAGATTGTTTACAAGAGTTCTGAACTAATAAATATTGTTTGTGCTTTCTGTACAGTCAGTAATCAAATCAGTTGGATTTCCCTCATAAGCAGCTTTTTTTAAGGGTCAGTTTTAATGGTCAAAGAAATAGAAGTTTGAGATTTCCTGAAATTTACATTTCAATTTAAATTTTCAATAAATTATTTTCAGAAAATTACCATTGAACAGCAGAAGCCCTGGAACAGAACATCCTCGACAGCCAATGTGTCTTTACGTGGAAAAACATCACTGTCCCATTGATGATGTGTCAGAATCGTTTGTGTACTACAGTATGCACATTACAGTAAAAACATCTGTGAAGTTAATGCTAAAATTTCTAGTATTTAGATTACGGGGATCAATTTCATATTATCTTTCAATATCTTTCATAGCTGTTAAAATCTCAACCATTGTCCAGGTCATGTGGAACATAGGTGCTGAGCTCAGCATGGTAGGGCTGCTGAAGAATCTCCAGTGTGGCATGCATAGCCAGTGGTGCAGTGGGCAGACGGCAAGGCCAGCTGCCAGTGGGAGGCCTGAGATGGGAACCCAGATTCATTTCCACACTGCTGATGGTGTATATTTAAGAAAGCAAGAATTAGCTAGCAATATTCACTAATTATGAATATCCATACCCTGATTTCTAACTTTCTCTGTATTTTTTCATCTGTTTTAAAACAAATGTAAACTTCCTTAATTTCAGGCTTAGAAACTCCTCGATAAGTCATTATTTATCAACTGATCCTTGATTACGTTTTTTCCCTCCAGTGAGGTCTACTGAAAATACTGTGTGACTTGCACTAAAACTTGAAAACAATTTTCTGTTTTACCTGCGTTGTCATTTACTTGACATTGTGTTGTTAATTTGCATTATTTCAAGAGAGATAGTTCTGGATTTTTATAATGGGTCAGAAAAACCCCTTCCATCTCCGCTTTTCTTTTTGTCTAACAACAGGAGTAGCTGAATAATTACTTCAAAAACATACCAGTAGATACTTGGAGATGGAAAGAGCTTCTGTATGTCTCTCTTTGCACCAAAAACAATCAAATGAAACTCCACCTTTGGTCCCTCTGATTGGAACATAAAGTGACCTGCTAGTCTGGTTACAACACAGCTGGAAAAGCCTGGAGGCCTGACAGTAGGCAGAAGGCTGCGGTAACTGCTCATACCAAGGGATCAGCTGAGGTTGGCAGTGAGGGCTGCAGCTTTTCAGTGATGGGAACAGAGCGGAACATGAACAGATGTGCAGGTGAAGGGGGAGACGACAACGGAGAATCAAATGGAGAAGTCAAGTAAAGCTCTGCTTCCTGAAAGTGTTGCAGGAGAGTTAGGTATCTGCTATGAAATCCATTTTTGTGACAGCCGTATGGATGGCAAGATGCAGCGAAGAATGTTGAGGAAAGAAGCACATGTCCAGGGGCCATAGCTGTTTGCTCTGGAGGTGGACAGGGCTGTGTGGGTAGGTACGTGGCTTCAGTTGCTGGTAGTTGAAGTTAAGCTAGAATGCTTTTGCAAGCCTGTATAATAGATTTTTCTACAAGGTATATAGCCTATATAATTTTGACAAAAGGCTAGATACAGACCTGACAGGATTATAATTTTTACAGGTGAGGTTTACACTAATTAGCAGTCTGTGACTGCTAAACCTATATCCTTTGACAAATCACTGTTCTTTCCCCATGGTATTTTTATTTGATGGGAAGAGTACTGAAGGTGGAAGAAGTATGCAGGCAAAAATTATAGTTAATTAGTAAGGCAATAAGCAGAGATAATTTTATTTTTTTTTTAAATGCACTTCATTAAAAAAAAAAAAGTACTTTCTTAGTATGTTTATCAGGAAACTACATTACACAAGTCTCTTATCTACAGAGAGGTAAGGAAACAGAAGCATGTGCTGTATAGGTTTCCTATTGTGAATATGGGAAGCTGGGAATAAATGAACTGCTGCTTTGGTCCATAACTTGAATTTTGTATGGAGGGCTATTACTTTATTCTTGCTTTATCTATGCTTTAAAAAAAAAAAAAAAAAAAAACAAAAAAGGAAAGCAAATTAATCCTGTATTTTATAAATTAACTACAAATAGGATAAAATTAGGTTCCTTCAGGACAAATACTCCCTGATGTCTGACCACCTGTCACTATTTCAATATAAGCCAAAGTAACCATTGCACCAGGTATTACCTCTATTTGGTATTGCTGTGCTTGCAGACAGGAATGTATTTAGAAACCCCTAGCAAACAGGATAAAGATTTTCATAGTATCTGCGTATTTGCCTAAATTCTTCTGTGAATATAACTGAATCATCTGTCTTCAAAATGGTTAGCTATTCAGCTAATATAGCTATTATGTTCAGCTAATATAGCTATTAGCTATATGTATTCAGACATAGAAAAGTCTGTCAGTAATTAAATATGTGGGGAAAAAAGTAAGAAAATAAGAAAAAATAGCCTGTATTTTTAATGTCTAAGAACATAAAACCTGAAAGGGATCAAATTATAAAATGTGTTAATGTTTTCATGCACAAATATTTGGCAGGTTGTTTAGATATGATTACAGTATTGATGTAATGCATAGCAAATTTATTTTGAGGAATAAATACCAAAATCCCACAGGACAATCTGAAAGACTGAAATAAAACAAACTAGCCCTACTACTCTTGTATGTCAGTGCTTGTGAAAATGAATTATGGTTTCCTGTAACTGATAGAATGACAATTTTAAAACATTCCTTATAATGAAATTAGATCATATAATCATCTTCCACTAGAGAGCAGCCTTTTGTTTTGGGAAAAGATATCTGGGTAGCAATTCTTTATCTTTTCTATTAGAAATGAGTTTTGCAATATTAAGAGCTGAAATACAACTTTGAGAAGGAAGGTTACCTGTTAAAATCATATACATGAGGAAGGAGATTAAGGGAATTAATTTTCGTGAGAAGGGGAAA